GAAATCGCCAATAACCGTCTCTGCACGGTCTGATATACAAAACCTTATTTTGAAAATTAACTCAAAGAATAATTTGTCCTTCCTTAAAATGCGGTGTTCACAGAATGAAAATTTTGGTTATTTGGACTTTTTGGGAATGGCAATAGATATGAATGAAACAAAGGACAAAATATTTGAATCGTTTTCTTCTTCCGACTCAAATAAAAAGTTCAAGTACTTTCTCAATGTACGAATTTATTTGGAGAACTTTAAGAACTTCTTTGAAAACATCAAAGAGACTTTTACCGATTTTAATTTGTGTTATTATTGTGAACTCCAGTCGACTGAGTTAATCAAACTTGCTCTTAAAATGGATGAAGGAGACAAGACCAAACAGAAAGAATTTGCAACGATATTGGAGTGTCTCAATTCTTCTCTTTTTCTAACGTTTGCAATCCTTTTTCAACAAGTTCCTTCACTCTTTGACACCGTCGTGGGATTTTCATTATGTTATGTCAACTTTTTATCATCACGGTTTAACACAGATAAAAATGCAGGGGAAATTTTTATACTTGATTATTATGGAACTACCTTCCAAATCAATTTTATAAGTAATTTGTTGGATTTAAGTTGTGATGATAAACAATTCAGTGTTTTATTTGACAAGTCACATGAAATCACTCGCGCAAAGGAGTTAACAAGTTCTCTTACTAATTTGGACGAAATAGTAAAAATACTGACTGATGTGAAAGAAGTTGTATTTGAAAAGTGTGTAATATTTACTAAACCTAAAGATAATTGGATGACACAAAAACTTTTTAAACTCTCGTCCTTTATTAAAACTGCTAAAGTTCTCACAACTTTTTCTAAAAAGGTGATTATAAAGAACTACGACGAAAAAGAAGTTAAAGAATGGTATAATTACACAATCAATATTTTCAAGTTGTTCCTCCACTTCTTTACTAACACTTCTTTTTATCTTCCCGAATATCGCAATTACTTTAACATGTCTGTATTAATTACTCGGCTTCAAAATGAATGGAACTTACATAAACGAGACTTAAGAGACTTGAACGATATTATTTATCAAATCACTTTTGTTGTATTTAATAATGTAGAGTTCTCAGACTTGTTTTTTGAAATTATAGTTTTTATGAGGTATGGACAAAAGACTTCAGAACACTATAAAGAGATGTTTAGTTTGATTGAAGACTATTACACCCTATTACTCAATGTTTTCAATTCAAAAGAAGACACCACAACAATTCTATTAAAATTGATACATTCCGTCGTCGTATCTAATAATTTTGGGAACGATAATGATAAGATGGAAACAATTCTTATGATCATGGCAAAGACTCACTCCAAAACGTACTTTTTTATTTCTCTTCTGGACAAGTTAAAGGAAACTTCTTACAAAATATCAACACGAATCTTTCATGATAAAAACGTTGATGAAACAATGTTTATCACAGTAAAGACACTCTCCCTCTTTTCCGAGTCTTTGTCTTGTGTTGATCCATTCGTCTTTATTATTTCCACGTTCATTTCAAACACATACAAATCATTGAATTGGTATTATATGCTCATAGACCCTATCAATAAAATACAAAACATTTTAGAATCTTATTTAATGTACGACAAGAGTTATTTACCACGGGTACTCCTCCGTTTGGTAAAGACTGTGGTGCTTTGTATATTACTTAAAATTCAGAACAAAAATCAGTTTGTCTTTAAGTTCAAAATGTACATCTTTTACTCGTTAAACGAGATCAAAAAGCTCATTAACTTTACTGGAGAAGCATTTAAAGAGATCACGTTATTTCGAAAATTGCTTTCAGTCTTTGAAGGAGAAATACTCAAAGTCTTTGAGAAGTATGACCCATTTATGTGGAAAGGGAAGGTAATGAACCATTTCATCAATTTCATTCACGATTTCGCCGTAGTAACAAGTTGGGCTGACTTAATGAATTATGGGATGAACAACTTCTGTTATGACATCATAATTTTGTTTCACTCAAAAGACGAAAATGCCTTGAAATTTGAGACGGTTGTATCTTTGTTGTATAAAGCTGCTTATTATAATGCAATGCTCAAGTTGCTAGTTAAATGTTCCAAATGTGAGGCTAAATTGTCAAAATCTCCCAAACAAATGTTTGAACAGTATTTGGATAAATTTAACAATGTCAATTCATTAGAATCGTTAACATCAATGACAGAGGCGTTTGTTAATAATTTCAACTTTGAAAAGACTATTATCTTTAGTCAAGAAGACTTAACTTGTGAAACGGAACACCACAAGTTATTTGAAAATATCAGTAAATGTGTCTTTCAAAGTTCAAATGAGAATAACAGTGAAATAATCAAAGAGGTGAAACTTTTCTTTTTTCATTCAACAGAACCGAAGTATTATCAACGAAGGACACTACTTAGTTCTGCCATTGAAGTCCAGCGATTTCATGAAAGAGCTGAAGATCTCTTCTTGAATATGACAACCTCTCAACGGATACGGACGTCTGGACAACATGAGTTTGTCACATCAATCAACTCGAAGTTATCTGCTTGTTATTTTGATATAATATCTATAATGCAGCAATATACACATGGTGAGTATTGTGTGTCATTATTTAGTCCTTCTGCAATCAAATTAGCGTTGAAAGTACGGAGTTTAGTGTCTAAAATAATCAGCCTGTTCATCACAACACGCTTTGTGTCAATTACAAAATACAAAGATATGGAAGGGATAATCAAATTCGTGAAATTTTACAACAACTTGAAGGAGATGGGGAGTCATTTGAAGAACATTATTTTCTCAATGAAGAGTGCGGTGTATACTTATTTATCAAGACAAACAGATGAACTCTCATTTTTACTTGAAAAATTGGTTAGAATTGTGAGAGACTTCCACTCTAAAAATCTGATCCATGTGAAGTTCCATACGTCTGTTGGTATCAACTACTTTCTTTTTAATCACGCATGCAAAGACTCTATCGCATTTTATGCAAACTTGTGCAAATTAAGTTCGACATTCCACGCACTTTGTGTTTCAAACAATTCCAACGTCAAAGCGGTCATTCAAATGAAAGAAAAGGGAATTGAATTTCTTGAAAAATTAGGATTTGATCCGATACTAGTAGAACGGGTGGGTGAGTTGTCAATAGAAGACTATAAAAAACTCGACCAATTAATTGGAGAACGGGTCGATTTTCTTGTATTTGAGATCAAGCCATCATTTTATTTTATGATCAGATTTCATATGAAGACTATAGACTCGGTTAATAGACTTTTTGTTGTATTCAAACACAACAAAATAGACAACCAACTCTGCTCCGTCAACGTCAAAAAATTGCAAAAATACTTGACCTATTTAGTAGAATTGTCCGACGCACTTTTATTCAGTTTACAAGTAGAAGACCGGAATGAGGCTCTTTCAAAGATGATCAACGAAAAGTTTACAAAGCGGTTTGAACAACTAAATGTGTGGATAAGTCACCATGACAATTCTGATAACGTGAAAGAGTTTATCTCAATCATGGGAACCTTTGAAATGGATGTTTTAACGTTGTTCAAAATCATTAGTTTTGTGTATTTCCTCCACCCCTGGCTGATTGATGAACTTACAGATTTTCTTGTAAGCATAGCAAATGGAATTGGAATTGATCAACAACGATACACCAATGTCGAGTTTTTATTACGAAGTTTCCAACCGGGGAGTGTCTATAAGAACAAAGTGATGTCAAAATGTTTTAAAAGTATTCGCACTTTTTTCCAAGAAGAAGAACATTCTCTCAAACAAATCCCATATATCCACACTCTTATTGAAGAAATAGAACAAGTGATGGTAACACGAAAAGAAATTGTTGAGACGATACATTCTTTAAATCTGACTTTATTGTTCAAAAATGTATCTCTAATGAAAGAACAAATTGAGTTGTGTTGCTACTTAAGCGCATTACTTACATTCTTTGTTGATTATGAATACACCAATCCAGCGTTCCGAAGTGGATGTGGACTTTGTTTTAATGTTGGTTTATTTGAAGAGACTTTGATTGAGTGTGAAAAGAAATTAAAGAATGGAAAGAGTTGTGTGAACGCGCTCGACAGAGTGAGACATTTATATGTCATGGAATTTTCAAATATCTCCATGAAACTGTCTTTACAACAATTGTGTTTCATATCACAATGTGTTGAAAATTTTGATGTTCTCAATTTTATTTATTTGGAAAATTACGTGAAAACATTTACACGTCTTGTGGAGTACATTTTGAAGTTTGACAAATATACTTCTATTTTGAACATCCACGAAGTTGAAATCGTTGAAAACATGCTTATAAATGTTTCCAGTAAATTCTCATTAACACAAATTCAGAATGATACATCATATTTGGAAACCCTTCACAACGCTTTGAAAGAAACATTCATAGTTCTTGATACGGCTCATGCAAGAAAAAAAGACAACACAATATTTGATATTCAAAAAATTTTCAAGAACAAATTCTATTTATACACCTCCTTTGAAGACACACTCTGCTATAAAATGATCCATTCGTATGAAATTGAAAAAGAGACTCTTGACATCTTTAACACCATCGCATCAGAAATTTATGAGACCCACAAACCAACAGAAATTTCGCTTCAAAAGGAAACGTTAGTTGACATCAACTCTATCGTCAAATTCAAATTATTTTCTCATCAACTGTACCTTTTCTACGAGTACAAAGCAGTACCCGAAACAACTTTTATCTATTTAAACAAAGCAATATTTGTGTTTATTGAACAATTAAATAGTGTGATAGCTACGGGAAATTATGACAACATTCACAAACGACTTAAAGAGACAAATAAAGCACTTCGACTTTTAATTATTGGAAACAAAATTCAGTTCATCTTTTATATGCGACAGACGGCAACTTTGTTTGTGTTAGAAGAGGTATCCGATGCATTCAAAGAAATTTGGGAAGTCATCAAATATCGAAAATGTAATTATTTGGAAGATTTATTCTCGTTTGGTCGACGCTTCGACTACATTCAGTTATTATCCATCTTGTCGATATATGGCATTATAACACTCTACAAGTTTTGTTATTGTTCACTTAAGAAAATGACGATAGCCAAAAACAACTTAAAGTGGATACCATTCGTCTCTGTGATGCAATTTCTTTCACACTTTCAAAGTATTACACAGATAGAAGTGGACATTCTTACCAAGGAAAATTTTGTTGTGTTGATGAAAGGATGAAATCCCAGAGAGTGTTTCAAACGGAAAGCGATTGGTCCCTTGTTGTTTATTCAGATCAAAAAACTTGAAGACTCTATCACTCAAGCTAATGCAAACGAAGAACCTTCAGAACACCCCACAATGTATCATTTACAAACTTTATCGTTCTGATCATAAAGATGTATCGACTACGCATTTCTACTCAAATCACACTACCCAACTTTTTTGTTGGTGATGGGATGTCGTCGAGGGTGTTAAAGCCCGTGTGTTGGAAGGACTTGAATGTTTTCACTGACCCCACTGCAATTTAACAACAATTTTTCTGAAACAACGAAAGACTATAGAACGGTGTATATTTCGACTTACTGACTTGTTTCCACAGATGAAGGTGTTTAATGTACTCCAACAAAGGAGAGCAGTGTTTAGTCAAAGAATATTATGAACAATTTAGAACTGAACTGCCATCGTCTTTGATATTGCAAAACATGATAGACTCAAACAAAATTGGGTCGTTCAATATCATCATTTTTCCATTGTTTGTGGTGCCTTATTACAGATACAAAAAGACCAAGAAAAGTCTTGAAAATGTCTTGGCACAATTCAATTTATACAACTCGGCTTTTTTCAATGAACGCGACAAACAAACAAAATCACTGAACTTTTCAATACGAGTGTTTTCGTTGACTTGCCGACTTATTGATTGCCTCAAAATTTTGATAAATTGTGCAGAAGGATTCTGTCTTGCAATTGATGACCCAATTTTAAAGGCGAACAAACACAAACTAGACGTCCACTTATCCACATATTCTTTGGACATTCTCTATTTAATGCCATTTGAGAATATCACAGCGACTGTGAATACAATTGTTGATTATTTAGAAAAGTGTGCAACGTGTTATCTCTTCTTTGTAACAAAGAGACAACTGGAAAACATCCAGACCGATTTCCAATCAAGTAAGAAGGAAGTTTTATATTCCTTGAAAATCATCTACGTAGTTGTATTTATTATGGATGAGATTATGCACCTCGACAATGTTGTCTTCACAAAAAGTGTGATCAAATCACTCGACCGATTTTATTTTGAGACGAAAAACAATTTCAAAAAGAACAAGTTAGAGATTGAGGAATTCACAAGGACAATCAAAAACTTTATGAATTGCTTTTATGAGCGCACAAAAATTCAATTGAAAATGATGGTGTTAGCGTGTCAGATGATTAAAGAAAACGTCTGTGTTGAAGAGAGTCAAGTGTTGTTACTTCAAACTTACTACACTATACGAGACCAATTCTTCGTTTCTTCTAATGAAAAAGTCCAACACCCGCTTTCAAGCTTTTACGTTTACTCCGCAGCAACAAAAACGTTTATTTTGGGACTAAAATCGTTTGAAAATATAAGAGAAAAATATGTTGTTGCTGACAAAATTCAGACGTCGATCATTGGTGGAATACACCATCAATTTTACTTCACAACTTCGTTTCTGAAAATCCTAATATCTGAGTGCAAAGACTTCAGACAATTTTTGTTAAACCCCAATGATATGGATACACTCGTCCTCTTTGGAGCAGTCAAAAATTTTATTGAAAGGAAGATTCTTGATATTGAAAACCAAGAGAAAACTTATATGAAATGTACTGACTGGATGTTTGCAAAGATGTCAATGTGTTGCCTTGACGCGTTCAAGCATTTCATAGTTGAAAAGGTGAAGAAAACAGAACTCAAAAAATGCTTACAAATTGTTGAAAAAAAGATGCTTTTTGACAACCTTTTAGTTGTCTTTCATGACATCTTATCAGCTGGGTTTCAACACATTAAAAATGCTTTAGACTTAACAGACAAAACGTTCAGAAGCCACTTGGTCAAACTGATTGGAATGGTCGAGACTAATCAGTATCTTGATATTGAGGAGTTGATCCATAAAGTCCCTATTGAAATGCAATTGACATCGAAAGATATCAATAACATCAATACATTTTCAATGATGTTTTATGACAAAGAAGTGTTAAGCACCAATTCGAATGTTTTTCTGTGTAACGTTCTCAGTTTTTCCGATTTAAAAAAGATAAAAACAGACATCTGTTTACTTCCAAAGAACAAGAAAGATGTGAATATTCGAGCATTTGTCTTCTTGATGGCGCTTATTCGTTCTTCAAAAATTGATCCTCAAATTTCTCCCATATTTATGTACAGTCGAGTGATGTCTCTGTATGTCTTTTTAGAGCGAATAACAACCACCAAAACAATTGAAATATTATGGCGACAGCTTTTCTTTGTTTTCTTTGTTGAAGATGGTAATTTGATTCGCAAAGGCAAAGTGCGACATGTGCAAAATGAAGACCCTCAATTGGTTTCCCTTTTGGATAACATGGAAAAAACACTTGTTTCTCAAATATTTGAAATGCGACTTGAAGTGTTCAAAACTGATTATTTATACTCGCTAAGTAATTTGTATTTCTCTTTGACAGAGGATATAAAATGTCCAGAAAAGATAATACTCAACAAACACATTGCTTCTTACTACGCACACATCATGTCAAAAGTCTTAACAAAAGTGTCCACTGAAAACGAATTTTTAGACATCGAAAGGCGGCTTTTGGAGACAAATTTGGAAAGTGAAAATGTCGCGCAAATCTGTATATTGACTTGCAAAATATATGTCAAGTTGTTTGAATGCATAGAAATGCTCAAACTCAACATGAAAACACTCTCAAGAACAAAAAGAGACTTTTTATCGGACTTTTCTTATAAAAATCAGATGGTCCAACAACTTAAAACTGATTTGCTGTTATTCAATTTCCTTGCTTGTTCCTTCTTTTCGACTTTGAAAGATACAAATTTAAGTGTACTTACTTCGATGATCAAAGTTCATTTGCGTACAGTCGTCAAAATGGTAGATTCATGCCACTCCTGTTATTTCCCTGAAGAAGCGGATTCCAACAGATTTATACCCAAAC